TCAGTGATTCTTCTTAGGAGGTTTTTTACCTAGTACTGTTTTCTAGCGCATTCCAACGTATTTCTGTGAGCGATAACATATCGTACATCGCAGATGCTATCATTTAATTTTAGTCGCCTCGGAATATGCGAATTGTGCTTTATGAGAGGGGTTTTAAAAAGTCGGGACTATTGCCAGAGGTTTACCTTCATGGTTCCTCGAACAAAGTAATTATGATCATATAGCTGAAAATTTTGAATGAACTGATTCTTGGCAATAATTATCCTGCTATATTCATAACTACACCGTAACGATCGCTGCTGAACAAAACTAGCGTCGCCATGAGCACATCTTATTATCATTAGTACTGTAATCCTTAAATATCAGTGGCATGATATGTCGATAGTCCATTCACATGAGATGTAGAAGTCACTCTGAACTCTTTCGCCAAAGCGTTCTGCGTCGGACCATCTCGATGGTGCATTGCTGCAACGTTTCTCGGCATATCCTGATATATGCGAATGCTTTCTTACACGTGCTCTATTTCTTGTATCCATGAATAATTATCCTGGTTTAGGCGACAAACGATAGCGTTTGCATGAACATTTAGTCCGGAATTAATATTCACAGTGACGTTGAGTCTGTTGAGTCTTGCTGGTCATTTGAATCACAGCATGTGTTTGCTGCATACTCTTGCCTTTAGTGCATACAGGTACATGGAACCATGCATTCTGGTGCTACATTCACTAAAAATTTACAGGTTGAAGAAAATTTTCAACATTATAAAGTTGTTCTCATAATGGTGTTCTCGAAGGTTGTCGGCGACATTAATTTCCTTGTGATTTTATGTAAGGCATGATTCAGGTTACCATATTGAAGTCATTAAAATTTGCACCACTCAATACTCTGCCATAATACTGAGTTTAATAAGAGGCTGATTCGATGATTAAGGGTCACTGATCTGCCTCTTTGTGTTCGACTTGACGAATGTGCCGTTGATGCGCGTCACTCAGATAGTTTTAGTTCGTTCCTGTGGCCACATATCTCACGTACATGGATGGCATTGGAAATGGGAACTGTGTCCTCTTGTATTTGAAACTGCTTTATGAATGGAAACATCTCTATGTCGCCAATGGTAGCTCACATCCAAACAAATAATACGTGCTGTTTATATGCTCACTCCACTGAACCGACCAAAGGATCTATTTTTGGCTTCGTTTCGTCCTCATGCAAAAAATTATCGGGGAGGGGACAGTTGATGAATCACTTCGGTTGATGAAATATGGTAAAATGGTCACTAATGCCAACCGCTTTCTTGTGCATTCTTTGATCAGAAAGAAAGGCACCTGAATTGCTCTGATTTTTGCTGTCTTCCATGCAATGGCAGACCTTAACTACATGATGGTGTATGTCCCTTTGGGTGCCTATTTTGTAAAGGTTCTTATCTGGTCCTCACTGAAAAGGAATCAATTTCTATTCCCGCTGCCTCTGCCCCTGATACTTATCAGATGTTATTATCGGAGAAATGGTAGTCACGCGATGGCTTTGTTAACTTATTGCGGAATGGAGTAATCAATTTAACATATAACTGTAATTAAACTTTACTACTTTAATCTATCGTAATCGATTCGTAATTTTCACCAGCGACGTATTCTTTACAAATAACTTGTGGAGTTAATAATCGTGTTCTCCGACCGTCGTTAGCCGCAAAGGGTCTCTTCTGTTAGTAAGAGCGAGCGGCTAAAAATGCGGGTGACTTACGCTCTGTCTCTGTGATGAAACCAAACCTACTGCTGCTCTGGTTTCTCTCTGCCGTGTTGAAACGCACATATCTGCACAGAGTACAAGTTAACAGTGGCCCGTGGTAAAGGAAAGATGATGATTCTGCGTGATTCGCCAGCAGCCAACACCAGGCCATCATAAAAACGTATTCACAGGCCCGTTTTAAGAAAACACGCGCGCAGTGTTTTTATATTCGTGAATTTTCATCTGTACATGGTTTTGCTGTGTTCACTACAGCACCACATTTTGACTCATGAGTAAAAAATTTAATCTCTTGCCAAAAATAACACTCCGCACTCCTGGTTTAAAAGCACAGCAGCTATCACTGACACACTGCGCAATTTTGTGTTCCTGCTGTCATTTGCTGACGCCGCTCATGATTTCGCACACTGTGAAAGTATTCGTTCTCCTTGCATTGGTCTTGCTGGACCTTGGAGGGGTATTGCCATATATATGACTCTACGACTATGATTATGGTTTGTGTTTTAGGCAAACCCGCAAATAACTCCTTTAGTTACCACCGAGGATCATGACGCAAGCTTCTCCTACCAAAATTTGGTCCTGAAAATCGTTATTCACATCAGAACTTCCAGAGATGGTACCGAATCCTATCGCCACTGCATTGGGACGTTATTTCACGTAAACAACGCTTCGATATTCCTGGTTTCTTCTGGTCGCGAGTTCTTTACCAAGTAACAGAACACCTGATGTGGTTGTTATATAAGCTGTTTTTAAGCTCTTTCCGTATGGTCCATTCGGCATCGGTGTCGGTCGTATTGAAGAACAATGTTTCGGAGACGATTTTGGTGAACCCGGTTTCAATTCTCGTCCATCGAAACGGTGCTGCATCCCCAGATTTCGATATTGCTGTCATAAAAGTGTCTCGGTCCACCTTGGGGGCTTGTGTTTTTGACACCCCTGTTGGCATCCCCACAATCTCGGAAGAAGCCAACATTAGCTTCAGCTGCAAAACACTAATCGCCCATGGTATGCAAACTAAAACTGCGGAAATCTCTTTTCGTATGTTAACATTTGAAGTTTAGGACTTTCAACGGTTGCCAGTTTTGAAGTAGCGAATTTCTCCATTGTCGATCAGAGGAAATGCGGTCTCTCGCGGTATCATAGAGGAACAATGTATTGTGGCTCTACGAAGGGTTCCCTTAATTTTCCGCTATGCGTAAGTCGTATGTAATAACTGTGTTGTCCGTCCGAAGGTTTTGGATTTTAGACTTATCTAATTTATCTAAACTTAACACAGATAAAAGGTACAACTGCAGTGATTCGTTATATCTGATAGTTACGCATTATTTCTGTATCATTGTTGTGAAGTCTGAGGTATTGTTTGCCATGATTAAGTTGCACTGGACATGAGGAATTTATTACAAATGCTAATGTGTAGTGAATACATTTGGAAGGTATCTTCCTTTAGAGTGTCTGTTTGTTCAAGGTGGATAAAAAACAGTTAGTGGTTAGCCTGAATCATAAACATTCTTATTTTCGTTGCCCCGCTTCGCGGCAAGAATTGAAACTTGCTTCTTTTCTTCTTAGCTCTATTATGACCTGTAGTTGTTAATCGTCAGTCATGAGAGAATTATTTCTCTAGCTGCGCCAACATATTGAAGTGCACGATTCAGCCACGTCGTCATTTCGGAGTTTACAGCGACCGATCTTAAGTATGTCGATGATTATGGATCTTAGTTCAATCGGAACCTTCGTTCTCCGAATTATGAAAATATGACATTTACTTCATTATGTGGTGACATTGAGTGACTAAGGAACTTTGTTTTGTGCTATCCGTCGCGTGACATGGACAAAGGTTTGCATCTATATTGATGACTTCGTTCATCGACATTTTCTTCTTGCAAAACAGCGGCATTCTATACTGAATTTCCGAAGATTCTTCAGGCCATGGAACTGTTGGATGGTTTCTGCTGTTTAAAAGCGCAGTTTTTCCGCTGGTAGTCTTCCAGCGCTTTTGAGCTTGAATTCGTTTGTGTCGGATGTTTGCTCGATGGCGATTTACAGTCATTATTGCATTCGTTTATGGTCGCTTTTTGATGTACGTGTAAAGGAAATTTTTTTTACTCTAGGCAGGTTCCTCGGGGCAGCCGTTGTTGTGCCCATTGACCAGTGTGGCAAGAGGGAGAATGCAGACCACTGTTCTAGCTGGCTACTCTTCTCGCCATAATTGCGAGGACGGTTCGCGTTTTACTAACTTGTATATGAAAACTGCTTCACACAAGGATTGGGTAAAAAATGCAATTTCTGTGTTGGACAATGTTAAATCCGGAACATACTGCCTCACAGAAGATCGGCGATTGTTCGACTCAAACGCTGAGGTAAACGAAGCATATAAGAAAAGTAGTGGTAGCACTTATGGCTTTTTTCAGGAGTATTACCCTCTCTGTCGCTGGTTGTCTGACTTCAGTGACTATACCGATGATACTCCTCCTCAGATGTCGCTGCTGGTTGTTTATTCACAGGGCGTTGTTGGATTGGGCGTTTATGTGAATGTTGAAAATTTCAACAGAAATGAACATATCTTCGTGGCTCCTGCGCATTTGTTCAGAAGATGAGTGATTTTGTGCTTCTTTCTTAGATTTCCAACGGTGTTTCGTTGAAACACCTTTGTGTCGTTGCTTCTGAGTGCGACACTTCTGCATTAAGTTCGTTGTCTTGGTACTTCTCGACGAGAAAGTTAGTAGGCGCGCGCAAACTAGATGAAATCTA